TTACTACATATATTATACACACATACGCGTACATATACACACATACACGTACATATTATACACACATACGACACACAGACAAGTACATATACACACATACGACACACTTACTACATATATTATACACACATACGCGTACATATACACACATACACGTACATATTATACACACATACGACACACAGACAAGTACATATACACCCATACGACACACTTACTACATATAATATACACACATACGCGTACATATACACACATACGCGTACATATACACACATACACGTACATATTCTCTTGATATTATACACACATGCACGTACATATACACACATGTACGACACACATACACGTACATATACACACATACACGTACATATACACACATACACGTACATATTATACACACATACGACACACATACGCGTACATATACACACATACACCTACATATTCTCTTGATATTATACACACATGCACGTACATATACACACATGTACGACACACATACACGTACATATACACACATACACGTACATATACACACATACACGTACATATACACACATACGACACACATACAAGTACATATACACACATACACGTACATATTCTCTTGATATTATACACACATGCACGTACATATACACACATGTACGACACACATACACGTACATATACACACATACACGTACATATTATACACACATACGACACACAGACAAGTACATATACACACATACGACACACGATACACGTACATATACAAACATACGGCACACAGTCACATACACGTACATATGCACACATACCGAATACGATGCAGTTTCTAGATACGACGACTGTCGCCGCATGGCTGTGCCGCGGTAAATAAATCGTTAATCGCTGGTACAATCTTTGCAACATTGCACAATCCCGCCCCCACACACCGCATCACCTGTGAATCCTTCTCCCACATTATACATGCACTACACCACACACACACACACGCACGCACGCACGCGCGCGCACGCACGCACGCAAGCACACGCGCGCGCGCGCGCACGCACGCACGCAAGCACGCACGCACGCACGCACGCACGCACGCACG